TTCCAGCTTACGAAATGTAGTGCGAGGCTGTCGGGTTCGCAAGTATGTTGTCTTCGCAGGTCCTATGGTCGACACCTCTCACGAATGGGGCCAGCACATCAATGTTCAAGTGGCCCTCGGGTGCATGTCATTGTGTATCCTACTTCAACGCTAATCGTGGGTCAGATCCGCTGCGACAAAGGGTCTCCCTGTTCTCATTGCCGGCGTGTCGGCGTCGAGTGTGTTCAATTGACCGTCAAGCCTAGAGAGAAGCGCACACGAATCCTTCTCACGTCTCAATAGTACGTATCCTACGTCCCCTCTCCCTGGCATTGGGATCTTTTTATCCCCCTCCAGCGGTGTGTGTACCCTTCGAAGTAAACAGGGCTTGGTTAACAGGACTGGACGTCTAGTGAAAGGAAGATTGATGTTCTCGACCACCGGCTTGACGGCGTCACCAAATTGCTGGAGGATCTCAAGATCATCTTGTCAGCCTCTAGCAGTAGTCCAGGGCTCAAAAATACCAAGACAGCTACAAGCCCCATGGTTCCTCCTGCCACCTCGCCAGCCAGTCGTGCAGGCCCATCAGAGTCAGCAGCTGGACAAGTGACTGAAGGGGAGTCTTCGCTATCGGCACACTCTGCCTTCGTCCACGATTTCCTTCAAGGCCTTGTCGAGGAAGGCTCTCTTCATCACCCTGATCCTGAGATTGACAGGACCATGAAAGCGCTCTCAGGCCTCGTCAGCGCGTCACGGCGGCAACCTGAGACTCACGAATCCATGTTGAGTCTCGCAAAACCAAAAGAGAGTGCGCAGCAACGGATCTCAGAGCTACCGCCCATTCAAACGTCAGTGGCTCTCATCCGCCTGGCGAAAAGTACGTGCAATCCATCCTATGTCGATGAGAACCCAAGACTAACGCTTCCGATTCCTCATTAGCACAGAAGCTCGCCGGGACCGGCTGGATCTACGAGTTCATCACGATGCGGCCGTTCGGTGATCTTTGTCTCAATGTTTACTTCTCCGAGGATCACTCGGCTTTTGATTCTATCAGTGTCAATGCTGGATTGTATTCACTATGTTGGGACTATGCCCTGTCGTCCGACATTGCCCCTGGCGAGAAGGAGCAATACATGACGTATGCTCAATCGTGTCGCGAGAACCTTGAGACCGGGCTCGCGAACCTGCCCCTTTATTTTCCGGCAACCTCGGATGCCATAGCTGCTCTGCTGTTCGGCGTGAGTTCTCCTTCGCCCGTAGCTGTGGTTGTCTTGCTGACAGGTCCGCAGGCCTTCTATACTCTACAGTTCGCGAAATCTTCCCTGTGCTGGGCATTGTCTTCTAAAGCTTCGGAATTGTGTCAGACATTGGGCTATCACCGAGCCGCTTCCACAGAGAACCAAGTGGCAGAGGACCCAGCCTACGCCCAGTTCCTCTTTTGGACTACTTACTATATTGAAAAAGGTCTAAGCCTTCGCCTAGGCAGACCCTCTACGATTCCCGACTGGGACATCACCGTCAGCCCTCCCTCATCTTCGGCCCCTGACCAGGCTCCCGTCCTGGCCTTCTTCGTGTTATGGGTACAGACTGCAAAATGCCAAGGCAACATCTACGAGCTGCTCTACAGTCCCGGCGCCGTGGGCCTCCCCGATGCCTTGCGACAGTCCAGAGTTGAGATCTTGCTGTCGAGCTTGCGCGACATTGATAAAGAGACGCAAAAGACTAGGGTCAGTGCATGATCCGAAATGCCCTGCGTGAACCACTGCTGACCCTGGTGATAGATTGCATGGCTCGAAATCTCCAAAGAAAATTCGGGCGACGATTTAATGGACTTCTATGCCACCTCGGACGACATCCTTCGGCTGTCCTTGCTGACTCATGTCCACCGAGCTGCTCCAAGGGCTTCATCCTCGTCCACAACCTTCAGTTCTGACTGTCTTGAAGCTGCGAGAATGACGCTAAAGCGGCATCACGACTGCATGGAGATCATACACAGAACTGGCGGCAAGTACTTCCAAACATACATTCACTGGTAAGGCTCACACCGCGTTCGAGCTGGGCTCCGTAGCCGCCCGAGCTAGGTCGTACCCAGGCTGACCTGATCAGGACCCTTCTGTTCGCACCTTTTATCCCATTCATCGTCCTGTTCTGCCATGTGATGGAGACAAGAAGTGAGGACGAGTTTGCTCGCCTCGAAGCGTTCGTCACCTCGATCGGACCCGCGTCGGTTCTCTCGGAGCCAGCCGCCAAGATGCTGCATCTCTTCCAGGTACTCCACAATATCGCGCGGCGGTACATCGAGCTCGGAGGCTCTGTTGCACAGAACAGGGGGCAGTACTCATCTATCCCTCAGATGAACGCAAGTCTGGCTGCTCTTGGGGTTCCTCATGTCGGCGTCGTCCGGACAAACAGCCAACAACTGGGCCAGCGGGCGGACCAATCTTTGGCGTTTGATTCAGGCTCTCTGCCGCTCGACCGTGATACCGAATTCGGCACTGGAGAGGCACAGATTGACCAAAATCTAGTCAACCCGGTACTTTGGATGGGTAATGGGCCGCAGTTGGAGGATTGGTTCTATAATAACCAAGCATCGATCCAGTCACTGCAGGAACCAGGCGACAGCAAGTTCAGATAGAATTCACATGCAATTCCTCGGGCCGTTTCGACAAGCAGCGACTACAGGCTAATGACTGTGTAATGAAAATGCTCTTCGTTACGTCCTCAGGGCGCAGAGGTTGCTCAAGCTCTTTGAGCAGTATTTGGTTACATCCCATGGCACACATACCCACGTGCGACGTTGAGTTTGACCGAGATTCGTTCATCAGATACAATTATGCCAAACACCTCAAAGGTCCAATGCTAATGCTATGAGAAATTATACAGGGAGGCAATGTTATTGACAAGTCTAGACAACATAGGGAAAGAACAAAGAAAAATAGAGAAGCATAGAAAACCCGCAGCAAGCAACTGCTACTTGTTGTTCAGGAGCTGAGGAAGAGCAGCCGAGAATTTTGAGTAAAAAAACCGTTTTGAGTGCACTATCAATCGATTTGAGCTCTAGTCTTTCCCTTAGTGCCGTTGCTGGAATCGTTTATTTCATAGAGGCGGTCGTCTTTGACGTGCCCTGACGGCTCAGGTTTTTTT